CACCGTGCTGCTTCCCTGCTACACTCCCAGAAAGGCCCCCGTGGCTCCTTGCATAGTGGCGCATGGCTCCATTGGAGTGAGGGTCAAGTGCCTCAAGCTCAGATGCCCACGCCCATGCAATCATGTCGCCCGAATCACTGAGAGGAGGAGGCAGGGGCAGGGGAAGGGGAAGGTGGGACATCGGGGGAGTGTTCAAAGGAGCATTGGATGGACCACGAGGCAAGAGGGCCGAATGTCGGGGTGAGAAGGGAAACGAGGCAAGAGGCCTAACAGTGGTCCCAAGCACTGAGAGAGAAGAGAAGGGAATGAGGTGATGTCACTCGGAATCTGTGAGATAGGTTGGTGGGAGCTCCTGTAGACCGTGGAACTTATAACACGATGCCAAGATGCTTCTTCGTCCTACGTCCTCCTCCCCTCACCTGCCAGCGAGGACAGACTGGTCGCCGAGAGGCTTGCAGCACGTGAGGCCGCCACCTGGACAGTGCTGAGACGCCAGCTCAGCACCGCCCATGCGCATCTGATGTTGAGAGCCAGGTGGCAGAGGAGGAAGGGCGAACAAGAATAGCAGCGAGATGAGTAGTGTGACAAGGAGCTCTGGGTGAAGTGGCTTATGAAAGTTTCAAAAAGTTGAGAATCCTCAAAAGATGAGCAGTGTGATAAGGAGCTGTGTGTGAAGTGGCTTATTGCGTAATGTGCATCAGGAGGTGCAGCAATGGCAATGAGGAGGTGCGGCAATGGGGAAGTTTGGCAATGGGGAGGTGCGGCAACGGGGAGGTGCGGCAACGGGGAGGTGCGGCAACGGGGAGGTGCGGCAACGGGGAGGTGCAGCAACGGGGAGGTGCGGCAACAGCGAGGTGCGGCAACGGGGACGTGCGGCAACGGGGAGGTGCGGCAATGAGGAGGTGCGGCAATGGGGAGGTGCGGCAGTGGGGAGGTGCGGCAATGGGGAGGTGCGGCAATGGGGAGGTGCGGCGTTGGGAAGGTGCAAGCCCTTGTAAGCAAGCACAAGCCCTAACGCACTCTGAGCCCAATTGATATCAGGAGCGGTTGGGCAAACTAAGCCCCTGCATGCGAGAGCACAGGGGCCTGTCACTGTGAGCCTTGAAGCCCCTCAAGCCCTTGAAGCCTCACCTCCAGCACTCTGAGAACCCCTATGGAATCGGCAGCAGTGATGTGCAACCCCCCATACAAGAACACCAGCACTGCTGGCACTGCTGTCACTGTCAGCCTTAAAGCCCCTCAAGCCCTTAAAGCCTCACCTCAAGCACTCTTAGCCCCCCTGAGGAGTCGGCAGCAGTGAGGTGCAGCCCCCCATACGAGAACACCAGCCCTGCCACCGCTAGCGGCGACGTGGGGGTGGTGAGGGGCGAGAGGCGGCAACTCCAGGGGACAGAGGCAGAAGGGGGCGCACGCATGTCCCACAGCAGCACAGCGCCTGGAGGAGGGGCATGGAGCAGTGTGGAAGAGAAAATGGGAGAGGGAATAATGATGGGGGTGGGTGAGAGGGGAGAGGCGGCAGCTCCAGGGGACACAGGCCGAGCGGGGGGCACGCATGTCCCACAGAGGCACAGCGCCTTGAGGTGGGAGATGGGGAGACGAGTGAGGGGGAGAAGCAATGGTGAGAGAGGGACTATGTATGTGTATGGGGAACATGGTTCCCACGGATAGAGGCACTGGGGTGTCACAGAGATTTGTAGAGAGAGGTAGCGGGTGGTTCGTGAGACGTTTCATAGCCCATCTGCTTCAAAATGTGCCAGTAGGGCACAAGAGTGTGAGCGACATATGTATATTTATAAAGGCGTTTCACGAGAGTCTAAGAGGCATACGATACGGCAACACAGTCGTCCCCCATGCTGAGCTGTCGTTCTCTCACCATTGGCTGACCCCGAGGCGGCAAGGGGCCATGCTGACGTGGCAGGGATGGCCACTTGGAGCGATGTGATTGGTGCGTCGTGCTGATTGAGCTCCGCTAGAGGAGGTGGGTGGACTGATGTGGGGGAGATTGATAGGGGGGAGGTTGAGGAGGGGCGAATGTGGGGAAGAGAGAGAGGGAAGGTGAAATCTGCCTGTACCAACAACCGCATTAATACAAAGTACGTTTGGGAAGGTGGAATAGAAAAACGATGGCTGCTTCGTGTTGATGCAGCCCAGCCTGAGGAGAATGGCCGTGTGTGTAGTGCTCTTGACACACTTCAAACGAGGAGACGGGTGGTGGAGGGACGGAAAGAGATGAGACCAGTTTTGAGTCACCTTAGTAATAGTTTCATATCAGGATGGGGGTGGATTGATGGAAAGAAGAAGGAGATGAGGGTGGAGGAGAAAAGAGGGAGCGTTGAGGAAGAAGCAAGGCGCATTGAGAGAGGAGAGGCAAAGGGGGAACGAAAAGAGTTGGACGTGCACTGGGAGACTTGGTCACTTTGAGAATTCTCAAATGGGAAAGGAAGGTGAAATAAGGAGCCCTATAGGGGCGGCTGCTTCACGCTGATGCAACTGCGTGTTCCAGGGGTGCACTGGCGACGAGATGGGATGGGAGATAGGCAGGGAGATAAGTAGGAAGTAATGGGAATGGGGACAGAAAGATGGAGGAGCAATATAGGGAGGGCGGGGGAGAGAAGACAGAGACATGGTTTGAGGTTTAGTGTGTCATGGGTTTGAGTGCCATCATCGAGGGGAGGAGTGGTGGAGTGATGGAAGGAAGAAGGATACACAAATCACTCTGATAAATGAGACATGCTTCACTGAGGGAGAGGCGGGGAGGACCAAGGAAGAGGCAGAGCGGGAAGGAGGAGAAGGAGGACGCAAGGTTACGAAGAGTGAGCATACGTAAGTAGCATAGCCTCACCTGTTGTGTGCGAGCCGCTGTGGGAGTGGGGCGAGGAGGAGGAGAAGGAGGCGAAGGGCGAGGCGGAGAGGAAGGGCGAGTGGGCCATGCTCCACTGCTTCACACTGCCGTCCCATGATGCTGTGACCAGACACGTGTCAGCGCCCCATTGGCTGACCTGAATGCATGACACCGTGTCATCGTGTGCATGCATCTGATGGCGGCACACAGGCGGGCGGGCAGGCAGGGAGCAGCGGGACAGGAGGGAAGGAGAGAAGGGGAGGGAGGGCAAAGGAGGTGACTGGCATGCACAGCACCGTGTCATCGTGTGCGTGCATCTGGTGTGGCGACAGGCAGGCGGGGAGCAGTGGGATAGGAGGGAAGGAGAGAAGGGGAGGGAGGGCAAAGGAGGTGACTGGCATGCACAGCACCGTGTCATCGTGTGCGTGCATCTGGTGTGGCGACAGGCAGGCGGGGAGCAGTGGGATAGGAGGGAAGGAGAGAAGGGGAGGGAGGGCAAAGGAGGTGACTGGCATGCACAGCACCGTGTCATCGTGTGCGTGTGCATCTGGTGTGGCGACAGGCAGGCGGGGAGCAGTGGGATAGGAGGGAAGGAGAGAAGGGGAGGGAGGGCAAAGGAGGTGACTGGCATGCACAGCACCGTGTCATCGTGTGCGTGCATCTGGTGTGGCGACAGGCAGGCGGAGAGCAGTGGGATAGGAGGGAAGGAGAGAAGGGGTGGGAGGGCAAAGGAGGTGACTGGCATGAACAGCACCGTGTCATCGTGTGCGTGCATCTGGTGTGGCGACAGGCAGGCGGGGAGCAGTGGGATAGGAGGGAAGGAGAGAAGGGGAGTGATGGATATACACCCAGGCCTCAGATACACCCATGCGCTTAGAATCGTACTGGTGTGCTTATAGGCAGGGGCCGAATATAAGCCCACCCTAATTTTGGGTCATCTTCGTATAAGCGCACCTAACGATTTTTTGCTCAAATCTGTGTTTTTTCTAGTGAGTTTGCCACTAACGCGTTAGGAGCAATCGTCGCTGATGTGCCTGGCGAGATTCTCCCTGGCCCCCCTGGCGAAATTGCCACAGGCGCGCACGTGTTAGCAGCATTTCAGCACGTGATGGCAGGGAATCTTGCCAGGGTGGCACATTTTCGGTAAATCTCGTAGCAACTGTTAAAGTAGGCTCTTAGCTAGGAAACTAGGTTGGGAGCCATGGCTAGGGTTTTGGACTTAGAAAAGTGGCGAGAGAAAAGGAGATGGCCAAAAAGGGGTTGCACTAGAAAGAGTGGTACAAGATATAGGCAAGGCAAAGGGTACACCACCAGCAGTTGATATAACTAACCTAATACACTAGTAAGCTGTAGGCAGGTATAAGATATGCAATATAAATTAACAGCAACCACTTTTTTGGTAGATTCGATTGAAACTGCAAGGCTGAGATCTACATTTCTATGTATCAAAATCATAATTCTCTTAGTGCCATTTATTTAGCCCATGGGTTTATAAAAAATTCCACATTATAAGCCCACCCACCATTTTTCCAGGCTTTTTTATACCCCCATATGGGGGTATATCCGGGGCATGATGGTACCCAGTTTTCTGTCGCACAATGTCGTGATACATCAGCTGTTTGTGACGCATGAAATTGTAAATTTACAGACGCGACTCGGGAAAAGGGGCATTGAGACACAAGTGTCTACACTGGAATGTACCCTAAATGTTCAAACATTTTGGGACCTCTCCTAGACTTATCATTCGAAGGGGAGGGGGGGAAGAGCAGGGGGGTGGGGGGGGTGGGGGGGGGGAGGGGGGGTAAATGTGGTACGCAACAGGACATCTCCTAGACTTATCATTCAGAGGATTACAGTACCTTTTCACAAGTGGTTGCAAGTAGGGATGTTACCGGTATGGTAAAGATTCCACTGTATCAGAATGCCATGAGGGAAACATTTGCACCAAACACTAAGCAGCAGTCATACAGAGGGAGGCAGTAGGTACCTTGCGCATTTGCAGTTCCTGCATAAGAACTCCATTCGTGAAAGCAGGGCACCCATGCTCCCTCAAACGGGTTCCTAAGTACACAACTTAGAGCACTTCGTGTTAACAATGGATGGACCAACCTCCTCATACTCGCTCTTCGTAATACACATCTGCATCACCAAAGGTATGTCAGCGCATAGAACCAAGGAAGGCATAGCAATAGAAAATGCAGAAAACGCATACCTGCTGGAATGTGCTCAGAGCCGCATACATGGATCCACCAATCCATGCACTGTACCTCCGCTCAGGTGGAGCAACCACCTTAACGTAGTTGGCTGGAGCCAGCTGAGTCACTTCCTTGGTCACACGCTCAGCGATTCCAGGGAATAAAGTGGTACCGCCGCCGAGAACAATGTTGCTGTACAAATCCCGCCTGATACCTTCCTCACACTTCATGATGCTGTCGTTGCACAACTCATGGATACCCGGGACTTCCTTGCCACCCAGCGACGGGTTGAAGAGCGCTTCTGGGCACCTAAACCGCTCAGAACCAACCGTAATCACCTGGCCATCAGGAAGCTCATAACTCTGCTCCAGAGTAGACGAGCTCTCTACAGTCGCCATCTCCTGCTCGAAATCAATGGCAACGTAAGCGAGCCTCTCCTTGATGTCCCTCACTGTTTCCCGCTGGACGGATGTGGTGAAAGAGTAACCCCTCTTACTGAAGAGCACAACCAGGTAATCAGTCAAATCACGACCGGCAAGATCCGAACGGAGAATCGCATCTGTCAGAGCGTAACCCTCGTGGATGGGGACAGCGTGGGTCACACCATCACCGGATTCCAGAACAATACCTGAAACCAAAGCAGGATATTAGAAGCAGAAACACATTGCGAATGCGACTGCATGGAGAAACAGGCCAAAACTTACCAGTGGTATGACCGCTGGCATATAAGGAGAGCACGGCCTGAATGGCGACATATGTCGCCGGCACGTTGAATGTCTCAAACATAATTTGCGCCATCTTCTCGCGATTCGCCTTGGGATTCAGCGGAACCTCAGTCAAAAGCACCGGATGCTCCTCTGGAGAGACATGAAGCTCATTGTAGATGGCGTAGCGCCAAATATGTTCCATGTCATCCCAGTTCGTCACAACACCTGGAAAGTCAAAACACGCGAAGGTCAGAGCGAGAATAATTACTATGATGTGTGCGTACTTATTCATTCAGCAAAGTTAATCTCACCATGCTCGATAGGATGCTTCAGCGTCAAAACTCCACGCTGGGCCGTGGCTTCATAACCAACGGCTTCATCCCTGTCGGCCATTAGCTTCACACCTTTATGGCGAGCACGACCAACAACGCTGGGAAATGCACTCGGATCATTATCTCCAGCGAATCCGGCCTGGAAAATAAGGCTCACAGTGCATTAGACGGAAATCACGAGCATGATGGATCGACAATGCCAATGCTACCCACCTTCATTATGCCGGATCCGTTGTCGATCACAAGAGCCCGCATGTCGTCCATGTTGAACGATCTTCACTGTGGAAGGACATTACCCAAAGTGAAGGAAAGAAAGAAAATTAAGAAATCGCCTAATGCAATTCAGTGATCACGACCAGCAGTTGTGCTCACCAGGCCGCGAGGAGGAAGGTTGGGTTGGGACGGGTGCTGAGAGCTTCAACGAAATGAGGGCGCAAAATATAGAAAGAGCTGCCTTTCCCTTAGCTCTTGCAAGAGCCAGCCGAAATTGTGAACTCCAATTCGTTCAGTTCGCCAAACTTCGAATGCGGTTCGTGAAAAATCTCATCTTGACATGTCAAGATGAGATTTTCACCGACCCCTTCACTCCACCCTCTCTCTACACGAGAGATTCTTCCATGAGGTTTGGTCCGACTTCCGTCAGATCACATCCCAAAATCTATCCGCGAAAGGGATGGGACATATGGGACATATGGGTCATATTTGTCGTTCAGAGCTTCTTGACGCATGGGACATTTTCAGGTGCAATCTCTGCTGTTCGTATGTATTATCCAAGCATTCTCGATTTGCCGTGCGGGCTAAAAGGGAATGGTTCTGAGTGCCCGACGGATTTGAATCCCTGGAAAGTCGAGCGTACGTAATGAGGCTGGCAAGCAAGCGATGAATTTGGCAACAGCAGCACATGACCACACTGTCACAAGTTCCGCGATTAATCCTTTCCATGAGGCCTGCCTTGAACTGCATGTATTAATGGCCAAGCATTCCAGTTAATGAAGATGTGGATCATTTTCAAAATACTTATGTACAGCAGTATGCCTCTGTGTTCAGGTAAGCCATATCACACTACCAAGCTTGCAGAGCCCTCTTCAGAACCCACGACCATCACCCTTGAGTTCTTCATAGCACTAGCAGAAACAAGGGATGATACACCAGACGAACTGATCGGCACAGAAAAGAAGCTCAAGCATTGAGCTCTCTTTGATGAAGACTGTACACCGTGCTGCTTCCCTGCTACACTCCCAGAAAGGCCCCCGTGGCTCCTTGCATAGTGGCGCATGGCTCCATTGGAGTGAGGGTCAAGTGCCTCAAGCTCAGATGCCCACGCCCATGCAATCATGTCGCCCGAATCACTGAGAGGAGGAGGCAGGGGCAGGGGAAGGGGAAGGTGGGACATCGGGGGAGTGTTCAAAGGAGCATTGGATGGACCACGAGGCAAGAGGGCCGAATGTCGGGGTGAGAAGGGAAACGAGGCAAGAGGCCTAACAGTGGTCCCAAGCACTGAGAGAGAAGAGAAGGGAATGAGGTGATGTCACTCGGAATCTGTGAGATAGGTTGGTGGGAGCTCCTGTAGACCGTGGAACTTATAACACGATGCCAAGATGCTTCTTCGTCCTACGTCCTCCTCCCCTCACCTGCCAGCGAGGACAGACTGGTCGCCGAGAGGCTTGCAGCACGTGAGGCCGCCACCTGGACAGTGCTGAGACGCCAGCTCAGCACCGCCCATGCGCATCTGATGTTGAGAGCCAGGTGGCAGAGGAGGAAGGGCGAACAAGAATAGCAGCGAGATGAGTAGTGTGACAAGGAGCTCTGGGTGAAGTGGCTTATGAAAGTTTCAAAAAGTTGAGAATCCTCAAAAGATGAGCAGTGTGATAAGGAGCTGTGTGTGAAGTGGCTTATTGCGTAATGTGCATCAGGAGGTGCAGCAATGGCAATGAGGAGGTGCGGCAATGGGGAAGTTTGGCAATGGGGAGGTGCGGCAACGGGGAGGTGCGGCAACGGGGAGGTGCGGCAACGGGGAGGTGCGGCAACGGGGAGGTGCAGCAATGGGGAGGTGCGGCAACAGCGAGGTGCGGCAACGGGGACGTGCGGCAACGGGGAGGTGCGGCAATGAGGAGGTGCGGCAATGGGGAGGTGCGGCAGTGGGGAGGTGCGGCAATGGGGAGGTGCGGCAATGGGGAGGTGCGGCGTTGGGAAGGTGCAAGCCCTTGTAAGCAAGCACAAGCCCTAACGCACTCTGAGCCCAATTGATATCAGGAGCGGTTGGGCAAACTAAGCCCCTGCATGCGAGAGCACAGGGGCCTGTCACTGTGAGCCTTGAAGCCCCTCAAGCCCTTGAAGCCTCACCTCCAGCACTCTGAGAACCCCTATGGAATCGGCAGCAGTGATGTGCAACCCCCCATACAAGAACACCAGCACTGCTGGCACTGCTGTCACTGTCAGCCTTAAAGCCCCTCAAGCCCTTAAAGCCTCACCTCAAGCACTCTTAGCCCCCCTGAGGAGTCGGCAGCAGTGAGGTGCAGCCCCCCATACGAGAACACCAGCCCTGCCACCGCTAGCGGCGACGTGGGGGTGGTGAGGGGCGAGAGGCGGCAACTCCAGGGGACAGAGGCAGAAGGGGGCGCACGCATGTCCCACAGCAGCACAGCGCCTGGAGGAGGGGCATGGAGCAGTGTGGAAGAGAAAATGGGAGAGGGAATAATGATGGGGGTGGGTGAGAGGGGAGAGGCGGCAGCTCCAGGGGACACAGGCCGAGCGGGGGGCACGCATGTCCCACAGAGGCACAGCGCCTTGAGGTGGGAGATGGGGAGACGAGTGAGGGGGAGAAGCAATGGTGAGAGAGGGACTATGTATGTGTATGGGGAACATGGTTCCCACGGATAGAGGCACTGGGGTGTCACAGAGATTTGTAGAGAGAGGTAGCGGGTGGTTCGTGAGACGTTTCATAGCCCATCTGCTTCAAAATGTGCCAGTAGGGCACAAGAGTGTGAGCGACATATGTATATTTATAAAGGCGTTTCACGAGAGTCTAAGAGGCATACGATACGGCAACACAGTCGTCCCCCATGCTGAGCTGTCGTTCTCTCACCATTGGCTGACCCCGAGGCGGCAAGGGGCCATGCTGACGTGGCAGGGATGGCCACTTGGAGCGATGTGATTGGTGCGTCGTGCTGATTGAGCTCCGCTAGAGGAGGTGGGTGGACTGATGTGGGGGAGATTGATAGGGGGGAGGTTGAGGAGGGGCGAATGTGGGGAAGAGAGAGAGGGAAGGTGAAATCTGCCTGTACCAACAACCGCATTAATACAAAGTACGTTTGGGAAGGTGGAATAGAAAAACGATGGCTGCTTCGTGTTGATGCAGCCCAGCCTGAGGAGAATGGCCGTGTGTGTAGTGCTCTTGACACACTTCAAACGAGGAGACGGGTGGTGGAGGGACGGAAAGAGATGAGACCAGTTTTGAGTCACCTTAGTAATAGTTTCATATCAGGATGGGGGTGGATTGATGGAAAGAAGAAGGAGATGAGGGTGGAGGAGAAAAGAGGGAGCGTTGAGGAAGAAGCAAGGCGCATTGAGAGAGGAGAGGCAAAGGGGGAACGAAAAGAGTTGGACGTGCACTGGGAGACTTGGTCACTTTGAGAATTCTCAAATGGGAAAGGAAGGTGAAATAAGGAGCCCTATAGGGGCGGCTGCTTCACGCTGATGCAACTGCGTGTTCCAGGGGTGCACTGGCGACGAGATGGGATGGGAGATAGGTAGGGAGATAAGTAGGAAGTAATGGGAATGGGGACAGAAAGATGGAGGAGCAATATAGGGAGGGCGGGGGAGAGAAGACAGAGACATGGTTTGAGGTTTAGTGTGTCATGGGTTTGAGTGCCATCATCGAGGGGAGGAGTGGTGGAGTGATGGAAGGAAGAAGGATACACAAATCACTCTGATAAATGAGACATGCTTCACTGAGGGAGAGGCGGGGAGGACCAAGGAAGAGGCAGAGCGGGAAGGAGGAGAAGGAGGACGCAAGGTTACGAAGAGTGAGCATACGTAAGTAGCATAGCCTCACCTGTTGTGTGCGAGCCGCTGTGGGAGTGGGGCGAGGAGGAGGAGAAGGAGGCGAAGGGCGAGGCGGAGAGGAAGGGCGAGTGGGCCATGCTCCACTGCTTCACACTGCCGTCCCATGATGCTGTGACCAGACACGTGTCAGCGCCCCATTGGCTGACCTGAATGCATGACACCGTGTCATCGTGTGCATGCATCTGATGGCGGCACACAGGCGGGCGGGCAGGCAGGGAGCAGCGGGACAGGAGGGAAGGAGAGAAGGGGAGGGAGGGCAAAGGAGGTGACTGGCATGCACAGCACCGTGTCATCGTGTGCGTGCATCTGGTGTGGCGACAGGCAGGCGGGGAGCAGTGGGATAGGAGGGAAGGAGAGAAGGGGAGGGAGGGCAAAGGAGGTGACTGGCATGCACAGCACCGTGTCATCGTGTGCGTGCATCTGGTGTGGCGACAGGCAGGCGGGGAGCAGTGGGATAGGAGGGAAGGAGAGAAGGGGAGGGAGGGCAAAGGAGGTGACTGGCATGCACAGCACCGTGTCATCGTGTGCGTGTGCATCTGGTGTGGCGACAGGCAGGCGGGGAGCAGTGGGATAGGAGGGAAGGAGAGAAGGGGAGGGAGGGCAAAGGAGGTGACTGGCATGCACAGCACCGTGTCATCGTGTGCGTGCATCTGGTGTGGCGACAGGCAGGCGGAGAGCAGTGGGATAGGAGGGAAGGAGAGAAGGGGTGGGAGGGCAAAGGAGGTGACTGGCATGAACAGCACCGTGTCATCGTGTGCGTGCATCTGGTGTGGCGACAGGCAGGCGGGGAGCAGTGGGATAGGAGGGAAGGAGAGAAGGGGAGGGAGGGCAAAGGAGGTGACTGGCATGCACAGCACCGTGTCACCATGTGCGTGCATCTGGTGTGGCGACAGGCAGGCGGGGAGCAGTGGGATAGGAGGGAAGGAGAGAAGGGGAGGGAGGGCAAAGGAGGTGACTGGCATGCACAGCACCGTGTCATCGTGTGCGTGCATCTGGTGTGGCGACAGGCAGGCGGGGAGCAGTGGGATAGGAGGGAAGGAGAGAAGGGGAGGGAGGGCAAAGGAGGTGACTGGCATGCACAGCACCGTGTCATCATGTGCGTGCATCTGGTGTGGCGACAGGCAGGCGGGGAGCAGTGGGATAGGAGGGAAGGAGAGAAGGGGAGGGAGGGCAAAGGAGGTGACTGGCATGCACAGCACCGTGTCACCATGTGCGTGCATCTGGTGTGGCGACAGGCAGGCGGGGAGCAGTGGGATAGGAGGGAAGGAGAGAAGGGGAGGGAGGGCAAAGGAGGTGACTGGCATGCACAGTACCGTGTCATCGTGTGCGTGCATCTGGTGTGGCGACAGGCAGGCGGGGAGCAGTGGGATAGGAGGGAAGGAGAGAAGGAGAGGGAGGGCAAAGGAGGTGACTGGCATGCACAGCACCGTGTCATCGTGTGCGTGCATCTGGTGTGGCGACAGGCAGGCGGGGAGCAGTGGGATAGGAGGGAAGGAGAGAAGGGGAGGGAGGGGAAAGAAGGGGGTGGAGGGAGGAAGGCAACAAGGGTTTATGTTTGTTTGGCTGACTTCAATGCATGTTACTGTGTCGTCGTGTGCATGCATGTGGTTGTGGACAGGCAGAGGCAGGAGGCAGTCAGCAGGTTGAAATTGAGGGAGGGAAAAGCAGAGATAGGAGAGACGGGGGGAGGAGAGCGATAAGGATAAGGAGAGATTAGGTTGACTTGAAATGACACCGTGTCATCGTGTGCACGCATCTGGTGGTACACAGGCAGGGGCAAGGGGTGAGGAGGGCAGGGGCAGGGGGTGGGGAGGGCAGGGGCAGGGGGTGGGGAGGGCAGGGGCCGGGGAGGGCAGGGGCTGGGGAGGTCAGGGGCTGCGGAGGGCAGGTGGGGAAGAGGAAGGGAAGAGATAGAAGGGACCAAAGGGAGGCAAAAGACAGGAGGAAAAGGCGGCATATAAGCTTCGAGGACCTGAAGGTCCATTCAATCGTGTCCTCTCCGAGAAACACAGTATTTGATGCTGGTCAGAGGATGAGTTCTTTGCCCCCATTTCCAAAGAAAATTTCCTGTATATGAAGAGCAGTAGGTTGTCGCGGTTCGACCGGATAGAAAATGGGGAAAAAAAAAAAAAAAAACTAAATATAGGCCTTTATCCGACAGAAGAATAAGCGACCAATGTTTATGGCACGAATTTGATCAAGAAAGATGACCCACAGGCCATAATTAATGCCATTCGCTCAAGAGCATGGCGTTAGTCATAGCCTGTGAACCATTTGTCTTGATCAAAGTTGTGTCATAAACATTGGACGCCTATTTTTCTTGTCAAGAAAAAATCCAAGATTGTTTTTTTCCCATTCCCTATCATTAGTACCCTCTACGTCTTCATGAACTTGGCCCACAATACTAACCGTCTCAGTAGCAAGCCCAATTTGTGACACCCCGTCAAACAGTTACAACCTATGGCTCTTCATACACAGGAAGTTTTCTTTGGAAATTTAGACAAAGAACTCATCCTCTGACTAAGCGTCAAGTACCGCCGCCATTGGGTCATCAGAGAGGACAAGAATGAATGGGTATTCAGACCCTCGGAGCTTATGTGCCGCTCCTCCGCAGGGAAGGAGGAAAATTAACATGAAAACTTGAAGCATTAAAAGAGAGGGGAGCAAGAGGGCAGCTTTTTACCGCTGATGTGCATGAATGATAGAGTGATCATGTGAATTGAATGCACACAGGGACATGGCACAAAGGGGCATGTCACACAGGGGCATGGCACACAAGGGCATGGCACACAAGGGCATGGCACACAGGGGCATGGCACACAAGGGCATGGCACACAGGGGCATGGCATACCTTGGAGAGGCATCGGCCGAAGTCAGGTGAGTAGAGCCACACGTGGTCGTCCGATGAGCCCAACAGCACTGACTGGTGTGTGGGAGAGGTGGTGGTGCAACGAAGGCATCCGAGCAAGGAGAGGAGGGAAGGGCATGTACTGGGTCAGGTCAGCCTAAGTCAGACGGGAGTAGAGCCACACGTCGTAGTCCGATTGAGGAGCAGAGAAGAGCAGAGGTGAATCGTGATGGCAGCAGAGCAGTGGTCCAATCACGAAGGCAGGCATGAGAAGAAGGGTGCGAGGGAGAGGGGAGGCACGGATTGAGAAGGCAGGAGAGGGAGGGCTGGATGATGGTGATGGTGGTGGTGGTGGTGGTGGTGGTGGTGGTGGTGATGATGATGATGATGATGATGATGATGATGATGATGATGATGATGATGATGATGATGATGATGATGATGATGATGATGATGATGATGATGATGATGATGATGATGATGATGATGATGATGATGATGATGATGATGATGATGATGACGACGACGATGACAACGATGATAGCAGAAGGTGCTGGCAGAGAGGAGGGGAGCCGAGGGGGAGAGATATGCTCGTGGAAAAGCACCGTGAGGATAAGACAGGGCTGGACGGGAGGAGAAAACCCAGAAGCATGCTCAAGAAGGAATATGTGGAGATAGAGCAGTACTGACGTACATTAAAAAAAGGGCATAAGGAGGGAAGCGTGATAAGTGGCAAGAATCTCAACTGGATAGCAGGGGGAGAGATCAGACGAAATAACAGCTGGATAGCAGGGGGAGAGACCAGACAAAATAACAGCTGGATAGCAGGGGGAGCGAGGAGATAGAATCTCAACTGGGTAGCAGTGGGAAGGAAGGGGCGGCAGCAGCGCCATGCTGGCCAATGGGAGGCTGCCAACTCGCGCTGACCTCAGCTGCTGCTGCGACTCCACTGAAAAGATCTGATTGGTGGAGGGCGGATTGTGGGGAGAGGATCAGTGGAAGATGTAAGGAGGGGAGAATGGGGGAGAGGATGGGGGAGAGGATGGGAGAGAAGTTTTGAGAAGGCTGATGCAGGGAGAGGCCTTCACCACCGTGGAATCACTGATAGAAATGGAATGACCCCAACCATCAACGCTTTCCGAATCACATACACGCCATAAGACCCCAACCCAAGCTCACCTTTCCTTTCACCAACCCATAATCGCTTCTCACCTTCACCATACAATCAGCACCCGCCGTGGTGATGGTGAGCCGTTTGACTCTGCATGCTCTGCCATACCGAAACTGCTTTAGAGAAACCCCACAACCAACTACAAGCCATGAGCCCCCTTTCACCTTCACCATGCCATCAGCCCCCCTCACCTTCACCATGCCATCAGCGCCTGCAGTGGTGAGCAGCAGGTCGTGCGACTCTGCATGCTCTGCCATACCGAAACTGCTTTAGAGAAACCCCACAACCAACTACAAGCCATGAGCCCCCTTTCACCTTCACCATGCCATCAGCCCCCCTCACCTTCACCATGCCATCAGCGCCTGCAGTGGTGAGCAGCAGGTCGTGCGACTCTGCATGCTCTGCCATACCGAAACTGCTTTAGAGAAACCCCACAACCAACTACAAGCCATGAGCCCCCTTTCACCTTGACCATGCCATCAGCCCCCCTCACCTTCACCATGCCATCAGCGCCTGCAGTGGTGAGCAGCAGGTCGTGCGACTCTGCATGCTCTGCCATACCGAAACTGCTTTAGAGAAACCCCACAACCAACTACAAGCCATGAGCCCCCTTTCACCTTCACCATGCCATCAGCCCCCCTCACCTTCACCATGCCATCAGCGCCTGCAGTGGTGAGCAGCAGGTCGTGCGACTCTGCATGCTCTGCCAGCGCCACCGCAACCACCGGCCCTCGATGTGCCTTCACTCGCCGCACCCTCGCCCTCCTCCTCCCGCTGCCGCTGCCATCGTTGTCGCTCCTGCTCCTCTCACTGCTTCTGCTCCTCTCACTGCTTCTGCTCCTCTCACTGCTGCCCACACCACCTTCTGTTCTGCTTGCCTTGCCGTTCGCCCTGGTGCTCACCGCACTGCTCACATCGCTGCTTCCCACTACAGGTGACGGCTGAAAGGCAGGGAAGGGCGCAGTGGGGGAGAAGGGGGGCGAGCAGGCAGGCGGCTCTTCCCCCCCTGCTCGCCCCACCCCAGCCTCGTCCAGCCACTCTCTCAGCGCCGCCATCTCCTCTTCCTCTCTCACTGCTGCTGCTCTTGCCACACCAACAGCACCACCTGCATTGACTGCATTGACTGCATTGACTGCATTGACCGCAGCACCTGCAGAGCCCATAGCGCCCCTGCCCTGCGCTGCTCGCCTGGCATTGAAGCTTCCCAGACCCACCGCCCCCTGCAGCGCCTTCAGCCTCCCATTTTCGTGTTCTTCCGCCAGTCCGCCACTAATCGCTATGCCACCTGTGCCCCCTGTCTCGCTGCTTCCATCCGCGGCCGCGCTAACTGTACTGTCTGACGTGGCGCTGACCTGGCGCAGTGCACTGGTACTAGAACCTGCAGCTGGTGCTGGTGGTGGCGGCTCTAGTGAGGTTGCTTTTTCCACTGCCGCTCCTCCTGTTGCTGCTGATGATGGTGCTGCTGCTGCTTCAGTTGCTGCTAAGCCCACACCGCCTGCACCTGAAGCCCCTGCACCTGCAGCCCCTGCACCTGCAGCCCCTGCACCTGCAGCCCCTGCACCTGCAGCCCCTGCTCCTGCAGCCCCTGCTCCTGCAGCCCCTGCTCCTGCAGCCCCTGCTCCTGCAGCCCCTGCTCCTGCAGCCCCTGCTCCTGCAGCCCCTGCTCCTGCAGCCCCTGCTCCTGCAGCCCCTGCTCCTGCAGCCCCTGCTCCTGCAGCCCCTGCTCCTGCAGCCCCTGCTCCTGCAGCCCCTGCTCCTGCAGCCCCTGCTCCTGCAGCCCCTGCTCCTGCAGCCCCTGCTCCTGCAGCCCCTGCTCCTGCAGCCCCTGCTCCTGCAGCCCCTGCTCCTGCAGCCCCTGCTCCTGCAGCCCCTGCTCCTGCAGCCCCTGCTCCTGCAGCCCCTGCTCCTGCAGCCCCTGCTCCTGCAGCCCCTGCTCCTGCAGCCCCTGCTCCTGCAGCCCCTGCTCCTGCAGCCCCTGCTCCTGAGCCTGGCCCTGGCTCTGCAGGAGCACCTGCGCCTGCTGCTGCCCTCTCTTCTCCTGCCAGTGCTGCTGTAGGCAAAATCGCACCCCGCTCCACATCGCTGCGGTCTTTATGTGCAGCACTCGCTGCTGCTGCTGGTGCTGTTGTTGCTGCTGCTGATGCTGGAGCACCATCTACAGCCCATCCGGTATCAGTGGCAGCAGCAGCATCCTTGCAAGCATCACGGCTGGTAGCAGATGAACCAGCCGCATCAGCACCAATGCCACCACTACCACTGGTGGCTTGAGTGGCGCCTAAAACACTAGAATCAACACTAGTGCTGCCACCAGCACTAGGAGCAGTAGCAGCAGGAGTATTGGTGGCAGCACCAGCAGCAGGCACGGCAGCAGCAGCAGCAGCTAAGGGCAGGAGAGGCAGGAGGCGCATGAGGAGGTGGACAGAGGTGGAGGGGTCACAGGAGGGCAGCGAGTCAACGCTGGGTGTGGCACGTGGGGAGCGCTGCGGGTGGGGATGGATGTACAGCTGCCTTGGCGTTTGGCCAAACTCGTTGATCTGACAAGGGCGTTCGGGGGAAAGCAGAACGGGAGGGAGGATGGAGGGGAAGGCGGAGGAGAAAGAGGGAACATGCTCATCACTGCTCCCATAGTAATACTTTTTCAGGAGAGGAAGGGCTGCGTTGATGAGTTGCTTGCGAAGCGTGGTGGGGGGCGACTGGACATTGTGGTACGCGCCCTCTAGTTGGTCCATCAGTTCATTGAATTGAGGAACAACAGCGCTGACGGTGGGATACGTAGATCCCTCGGCTGCCAGGGTGACGGAGTTGAACGGGTCCAAAAACTCCACCAATTCCGTGAGGCTCTCCCAGTGCTCAGCACTGAGGCTCAGCTCACTGAACCGTCCCTTTTCAGCCTTGGTGGTACCCTGTTGGTTGATGTGTACACACACACAAAGGAAGGACGAGCGCATGTTTAGGGAAAGGAAGGACCAGCCAATGTCTAGGGAATGGATGGACCAGCCATACATCAAACACTGCTGACCCCACCCACACATACCTTCTCTTGCTGGAAGAAGACTGTCAGGGCTGGCCGTAGCTCCAAAGCACGCGCTATCATCTCGTGGGTGGAACCCCACCGCGTGTCACTATCCTGGACCAGCTTCAAAGGTTGCTGTCCCTGATTCAAGGCTTTCTGAATCTTGAAAAAGATGGCGGTGCGCTTAGGCGACCACCCGATAAAGGAGGCAATCTCCCGTAAGCGTGCTAGTGGCACCTTCACCGCATCTACTGCTAAAGCCCGCTGCACAGCGAGGTTCAGGATGTGTGCGAGGCACCTGAAGAGAGGAAGAGTTCGGTTGAGTGGATTGTGACATTTCTGTGGATGCAAAAGCCCTACAGCAACCAAACCAGCCACTCTCTCCCAACCTGTACTCACCGAAAGTGCATGGTGGCCGCGACAATTGGCTATTCCCTCCCATAATGTCCTTGCCCAGCTAGAATGCGCAGCGCGGCAGCGTTGCTCTCTGCGTTGTCGGTGGTGACGCCGAAACAACGGTCCACCAGTCCCCACTCGTGCAGCACATCTTCAAAGGCATCTGAAATCACCACAGCAGTGTGCTTCTCTCCCAAATCGACAAAGTCCAGTGTTGCAACACGCAATTGCCAATCCTTGGTGATCCAATGTGCCGTGATCACCATGTACCCGCGACGATTCCCGCCCGACCATATGTCGAAGGTAAAGGAGACACACCCTCCGCCCCCATTTCGAAGGTCAGCTCGCATGTGCTCTCGTGCAAGATCCGCAAACTTTACCACGTCACGAGCCGCGGTCCACCGAGTAGGAATCACATCCTTTTCACCGCACAGAGGGTTCAACAATGTTACAAGGCGTCGAAACTGGGATGACAAGGCAAGCACACGAAGGAGAAATCGAGCATACATGAGGCTGTGACTGGTTAGAAGTTGTACAAAACACGAATGACTGGTATAGAGTTTACCGCGTTACTCGATGAAGGGACACACTGCACGGCATGCACCGAATGCAATCAGCAAGTTACTTACAGTGGGTCGGTCGACAATTTGAAAGGAGAGGTCTGCATCAGCAATGAACTCAACAAGTGCTTGTCGCAGCTGCGGCGCGGACAAGCGCGGGGCCAGAAAACGGTTGATCGATAGCTGGCCGCCATCAACCGATGCTGCACCTTCAGGTGGGGGGTCAGGCCACGTGGCAGAGCCAGCCCACACTGCCTTCCCATCTGGCACGTCAGAATAACCACCCTCGGGGAACGTGTCTTTCGGGCCTACGAGCTTCTGCGACCATAGGCGCTCCCAAATGTCCCAGTGTGGCCTATGGCGACGTTTCATATGCCTTAGACCCGATGTGGTGTTGCTACCCTTGAACGACAGACGCTTGCCACATACTTTGCAGCTACGTTTCTCATCCTTGGCTCCCCCTTCACCAAAACAGCGGGCAACACATCCAGGAGCCTTCTCTAATTGAGTCTTGGCCTTCTTTCTTCTACGTCGCCGTTTCACTCCCCTGGAGCCGCCAACACTACCCTGCTTGTTCTTGCAGCCACCTCCACGTCGCCCTGCCCCTCCACCACGCCGTCCCTTAGATCCTTTTCCTCCACTGCCTGCCTCCATTGTGCCTTCCGCCAATACGCCTGGCTCCTCTTCTTCTAACTCCACGTCATCATCCTCGTCCCCGCCATCCCCCTCGCTGTCACTTGCGTATTCCTCCTCGCTACCATCTCCCGATCCAGAGCTGTCACTGTCATTCCCATCTTCGTCTTCATCACTGCCGGTTTCTTCACTTTCATCCCCATCGCTCTCGTTTCCACCGAGTCCAGTGTCTTTCTTCTTCTCTAATGCCCATGATGGCCCGAGTGTGAATGCTTCTTGCACGACAGGAACTGTGGGCGGTATGCGCGCGCTTGTGCCTGCCTGCTCGGTGGTAGCTGCACCCACATTGACGGGGTTATTGCAGCCTACGGTAAGACGGTTGATTCCCTGCCCCGATTGAGCACGGTTCTTCCCTGCACTGGCCGATTCCCTAGCTTTCCGTGCCATGATTAGATTAGTAGAAGGTGCTTCAAACTATACGGTCGATCCCACCAATCCAAGCTCCACCATGAATGCAGCAACGATCTGGTTTTCTATACCATCTGTTCTGGTTATGACGAACGTAAATCAGTGGTCTCTTAAGAACAACGATGTCTGCATGCTGTGAATGGAATGATCTACAGGAAACACGCCTCAGGAGGCATGAAAACGCGCCTAAGAGAGGCACGAAAACGCGCCTAGCAAGGCCCTGAAATGCGCCTAACGAGGCACGGAAACGCACCTCGCGAGTCATATCAAGGCACAAAAACGCGCGTGAGGTTGTCGTGCAATAATACACCAGAAGCCGGTATGATGTCTGGCTGCTACGGTTGGCCGGATCTAGAAGATCACGATCAAGGCTTAAAAACACGCGCGACGCGAGGTTTTCGAACGATTTCAGATCAGCAGTCTGATGCTGTCTAGCCGCCATGTTTAGAATGCTCTAGAAATTCCCCGTCGATGCATGAAACGGAAACACGCGCGGGGTTGTCGAGCAATCAAATCTGACAGTGCTTTTCGAATTTCTGACACAGTAACCCTAATTTCAACCCGCGAAATTTGGTCGAATTTGGTGGAGGGAAAGTTGGGAGGCCTGCCGTGGGATAAGCGAACAAATCAAGCTCAACGAATCTGGATACAAAATGCTGGCGAACACCTTGAGGAACAAATTTTCCAAATACAAACGCACATGCGAAACTAGTCGAGAGCTGACGACATTTCAACAGTTTTCGCCTCCTTTATGGAATCCACGTGTCACTGAGATTGGGCAAAGGCGGGGCCTATTTTTCGCTACATGTTACTCGTCCCAGTGTCGCTGAGATTGGCCTCTACAGTTTTGTTCACCGTGCATCTCCCTCCCCGATGAGATGTGCATTCCCGATCTAGGGATGACCTGAGTAGTATCCCGATCCAGGAATTAGTTACCACTAGCAAAACGCGATTCACGGACAGGAACGAACGTATCAGTTACATTCAAGCTCTCGGACCCCCGACTTTTCACTCGCATAGGAACGTCGAGCCAATCGACTGCTCGCGACGAGCCAAATTGACCCGCGAGCCATCCCTGGCTCGCCGAAATTGCTTCATCGAGCCGAGCGGCTCGGCCGGCTCGGCGAGCCATGCTCGACTCGGCTCGATCCGAGACAGAGGGCAAAAAAAAAAGGCTCGGCTCGGGGGTAACCCGAGCCGAGTCTAGGCTCGTCGATATGCTCATGTCTAGCTGCAACACATCAGCCACAAGGAGGCCCAACACCCATGGCCGAGAGGAGGCGGTAATGGTCCTCGCGAACAAGCGACTTGGTAAACAAGTCAGCAAGGTTGCAGTCCGAGGCAATGTGGTCAGCCTTCAGCTGGTTGCGCTGCACCAGCTCACGAAGAAAGTAGTGACGGACTTCAATGTGCTTGGTGCGGCCGTGGAAAACGGGGTCCTTGGTGAGATGAATGGTGCTCTCGTTGTCACACCAAAGCGTTGGGGTTGGTTGGGGATACCCCAGTTCTGTCAGCAGGAAGGAGAGCCAACGAGCCTCCTGGGCAGCCATGGTCCCGGCATACAGCTCTGCCTCACAGGTCGACAGTGAGACAGAGGACGACTGAGTAGAGCGCCAACTGACAACCCCACTGCCGAGGGTAAAGCAATACCCTTGGGAAGAGCGTCGATCACTCTGGTCATCAGCATAGGATGAGTCACTGTACCCCTCAAGGCGAACAGGGGAAGAGCCGCCAAGTGTGAGCACATAATCCTGTGTGCCTTTGAGATAGCGAAGAACCCGCTTGGCGGCAGACCAGTGGTGGCGAGTGAAGCGACCAGGTGCAACGTAGCGGGACAATACACTGACTGGATAGGCTAAGTCCGGTCGAGTGCACATCATCGCGTACATGAGGGATCCCACGAGCTCGGGGTAAGGCTCGTCACAGGGCTCAGGTGAGGGGACAGAGGGTGCAATGAGTTGGTGCTGCAGAGAGAGTGGGGTGGGCATTGGCGCTGCTTCCTCCATCTTGAACCTCGTCAGAACGTTGTTGATGTAAAACTTCTGCGAGAGGGTGATGGTGCGGGCAGTGCGATCACGTGTGATTTCCATTCCCAGATAGTGAGTCAGCTTCCCAAGGTCCTTCATGGCCAGCTTCTCACCAAGTGCTGTTTTGACTGCTGCCAGCTCCGTCTGATCCTTGGTGACAAGGATCATGTCATCGACATAAACCAGGATGAAGAAGCGGGATGGTGTTGCTCGAATGAAGAGGCTGGGGTCAGAGGTGGATGGGTGAAAGTCGAGGGACCCTAAGGTGCTCTTCAGCTGCTTGTGCCATTCTCGGGGAGCTTCCTTGAGGCCATACACTGGCCGATTCAGCTTCCATACAGTGCCTGGTGGAAAAGGAGCTGGAAATCCTTCGGGCCGCTCCATATAGATTTCCTCTCGAAGGATCCCTTGGAGGAACGCAGAAGACACATCCATGCAGTCAACCTCCATGTCATCTCGAGCAGCGACGTCGAGAAAGGTGCGCAGTGTGGGAGGTTTGGCGGTGGGAGAGAATGTCTCAAAGAAGTCCAGTCCATGCTTTTGGGTAAATCCCTTGGCACAGTACCGGGCTTTGAAGACAGGAAATTCGCCTGGAAGCTGTTTCACCCGAAAGACCCATTTTCCCTTCACAATGTTGACGTCGGAGGGAGGAGAGACATCTGTGAAAGTTCCTGTGTGAATGAAGGCCTCACATTCTGCGACAATGGCCCCCAACCACTGAGCGGCGTGAGGACCAGAGACTGCTTCAGCATAGGTGAGAGGTGTGGGGATGGAGGGGTTGTCGGAGAAATTGAGGGTAGGAGAGTCTGCAATGTCTGGAAAGAGGAAGCAGAGCGCGTGGATGGCTGAGTCGATATCAATCAACTCCTCATGTCTGTCTTCAAGGAGGGAGGGCATGAGAGAATAATCACCCCCGGCAGGAGGAGGATTGAGAGAGACGCGAACAGAAAGGGAGAGCGGTTGTGGAGGTTTGCGAGAGCGGGTGCGAGAAGCGATGGGGGAGGGAGGCGGAGCTGGAGGAGGCGTAGCGGTAGGGGAGACGGGAGTGGGAGGGAGAGAGGAAACAGGAGCGGGTTCCGGGGTAGGAGCACGAGGAGGAGGAGGGGGAGGGGGAGGAGGAGGGTGACGGCGGTGGTAGGTTTTGAGAGGAACGGGCTCGGTAGGAGGAGGAGGAGCGAGAGCGGGAGGAGATGCGAGAGGAGGTGGAGGAGAGGGAGCGGAGGAGGGAAGGAGCGAGGGAGACTGTATGGTACTGGAGGGGGAAGTGGGTGATGGGGGATCAGAAATGGTGGAGGGAGCGGGAAGAGGAGGAGGTGGAGTGTCGGGAAGAGGAGGAGATGGAGTGTCGGGAAGAGGGAGACTGTCAAAGTCAGCCCAAGTAAGAGAAGGAGGCGGAGGAGAGGGGGAAGCCTTGGAGGAGGGGTAGAACGGGTGGGACTCATCAAAGTAAACGTCCCGGCTGCGATAGAGCTTGTTGGTGGAAGGATGGAGGAAGAGGTAGTCTGGCGAATCTAAGTTGTGACCGAGGTACACGCACGTGATGGTTTTGGGAGCAAGTTTGCCGCCAGCCGCACGACGAGCTTGGGAGTTGAGGAGGACATAGGAAGTGCACCCCCAGACACGAAGAGGGCGGACGGATGGCTTTTGACCCGTCCATAGCTCAGCGGGGGTGGTATGGGTGTGATGAGGATGGGGATGGAGATTGTGGAGGGCGGCAGCATGAAGCATGGCGTACCCCCAGAGAGAGGGAGGGGCGGAGGCGTGCGTGAGGAGGCAGCGAGCAATCTGCACCAATGTACGGTTCCGGCTCTCGGCAACACCGTTCTGTTGGGGACTGTCCGGAAGAGTGAAGGTTTGACGGATACCCTCAGTAGAGCAGAAGCTTTGAGAGTGTTGTTGCGGAATTCACCGCCACCGTCAGAGTGAAGGATCTTGATGGTGGTTTTGAAGTGTTTATGAGCCTGCTTGGCCCATTCGATGATGACGCCCGGGGCTTCGGATTTGGAGGAGAGAAGGTGGACAGACACATAGCGGGAATAGTCATCAATGATGACAAGGAAGTAGAAGTGTCCGCCGCGAGAACGAACAGGAGCTGGCTCCCAAAGGTCCATGTGCACGCGATCGAGAGGGGCAGCTGAGATGGACTCAGTGGGGGGATGGGGCTGTTCACGAAGCTTGCTCTGTGCACAGTCAAGACAAGGCGGTCATAGGGTGGAGGAAGGAGAAGGAAGTGAGGTTGGAAGCCCGTGGAGGAGTTGTTTTGTGGCAAGGTCTGAAAGCGCGCGGAAGTTGATGTGGCCAAGGCGGTGATGAAAGAGCATGGTTTTGTCGGAAAGGAGACGGCAGTGACAGGTGGAGGAGTCTGTGGAAGGGAGCGGAAGGTTTGTGAGTGAGCACGTTTGAATGGGAGGTACGACGAGCGTGTATAAGTTGTTGGAGTTGAGGGTAAAGCGGGCTAGATGGATGCCGGTTTTGGCGTCAAAGAGGTCACAGTAGTCGACATCATTGGGAAAGATGGTGATCACTCCTGCTTGTTGGATTTCACTCTGTGCCAGGAGGTTGTGACGGAGGGTTGGGCCACAGATGCCAGTGACTGTGCCCGATGGGAAGGCACGACAAGGAACTGTGGAGGACCATGGCATTGGATGGAGAAGCTAGAGTCGGCTCCGAGGAGGGGGATGGGAGCCTGGTAAGGAACAAATGCGGTTTGGTCTTTGAGCACTGTGTGGGTGGCACCACTGTCTAGTATGAACTCGATCCCTTGTGTGTTTGAAACACCGATGTACTGCGACCCCTTCTCATTAAGAAGACCAGCACCAGAGAACAACAGGTTGAGGCGAACATCAGATGGGGTGCTATCAACTGAGAGACTAGGTTCCTCCACTGCCTCGACCTGGTTCACGCGACGGGGTGGGGCCCAGTTGGGAGGGCGCTTGTTGGTGGAGACACCAT